CACATGTCATTGTGCAACAAAGTCGTCAGCATTTTTTTGCCCTTTTGAACGGGTGAAACGTTTTGAATGGCACTCTTATCGATGAATTTTACACTAAACCATGCTAAATTCTTGGATCTAGCTTTATTTACCCGCCGTTTCAGTTTAATTTAAAAACCGGAAGTGCGAGTTCGTAAATTTGTAATCTCGATCCCGACTCAAATTTTACATCGGAAAGAAAATTTTTTTTATTTTTTTCTAAAATTTTAAAATTGACGGAGGGTTTGTAAAACTGAAAATAAAATAAATCCTGGCCTTAGATATGTAATTAGATCATTAGCATATTAACCAAGAGCAAAGGATAAGATCTTAAAGAATTCATACATTTCACTATAATATTTAAACCCCCCCCTAAAACAAGAACCCCTGACCCTGGGGCCATAAAAATTTACAATTTTGGTAAGGCACTCTTGCTTATCATAACTATGTACTTATTAATTTTAAAACCCCGGGGCAGAGAACAAGGTTTTCAAAGAATTAATGTATTTTCACTATATAATCAATAGAGCCCCGCCCTAACACCAGAACCCCATGGGGAAAAATTCACAATTTTGGTAGAGGCACTCTTGCTATCATAACTATGTACTTATTGGTTTATTTAATACCCAGGAGCAGAGAAGAAGATTTTCAAAGAAATAATGCATTTTCACTACCTACTTATTTAGCCCCGCCCTAGCACTAGAACCCCCTCCCTGGGGCCATAATTCACAATTTTGGTAGGGACTCATTGCTATTAAATCATGCAAACAGTTTGACTGCTTGATGTCCAGGAGTAAAGAAGAAGATTTTTAAAGATTGCACTAATTTTAGTGGTTTTGGCCCCCCCCCTGGCCCCCAGGGGGGCAGGGATATGAAATTCACAATTTTTTTTCCCCCTTCACCCATAGATGCTTTGTACCAAATTTGGTTGAAATTGGTTAGTGGTTGGGAAAGAAGTTGCAAATGTTCAAATGTTAACGCACGACGAACGACGCACGACGCACGACAAACGCGGGGAGAAAACAGATAGCAATAGGTCACCGGGTTTTCTCGGGTGCCCTTTCAGAGGCCCATGGGCCACATCCTCACCTAAAGCCCCCACCCTACCCCACTGATCAAAATTTTAAACAATTTGAAATCTACACTACCCCAGTATGCTTCCATGTAAGTTTCAGCTTTGATTTTAGTTTTTTTTATATATTTCTATGTAAAACTTGATTCCACATTGTGGTCCCCCAACCCCCGGGGGTCATGATTATAACAATTTAGAATCACACTCCCCCAGGATGCTTCCAAAAAGTTACAGCTTCTCTGGCTCAGTGGTTCTTGAGAAGAAGATTTTCAAAGTTTTTTCCTATATATTTCTATATAAAACTTTGATTCCCCATTGTGGCCCCGCCCCCCCCTGGGGGTCATGATTTGAACAATTTAGAATCTACCCCCTAGAATGCTTCCACATACATTTAGCTTTCTTGACCCAGTGGTTCTTGAAAAAAATTTTAAAAGATTTTTCCTTTATATTTCTATGTAAAAGATTGATTCCAGAGGTACATTGTGCATTTTACGGAAGGTGCGGGGTTATAATTTTGCTTTGTGGGGTTATTAATAGTACAGTGGTGACTTGAGAGGTTTCATTAGGAATTCAAACAAATGGTATATTGTGGGGTTAAAGGTCTATATTTGTGGGGTTAAAGATCTATATTTGTGGGGTTAAAGATCTATATTTGTGGGGTTAAAAATAAATTATTTAATATCAAGTCAACTTTACGGGCAACTAATTATAAGTACTTAAAATTGTTACTGTTTATCTGAAGAACTTAGAACGGATATTGCAATAACTTTTTTTCAACTACTACCTAGCAGTAACAATGCAAAAAAATGTTTTATTTGAGGATAACTGTTGCATCAAAGTAAATTAACCCATCATGTTTTCACATAAAGATGATAGACAAGAATATTCCAGAGAGTGTTAAACAAACAACCCCACTATGCTATATAGAAATAACAGACAACACTAACCCCATAAATTATAAGACAAACAACCCCAGTGTGTACTCTTATAAAGATAATAGACAACACTAACCCCATTAAGTGTTTGGACAACAACCCCACTATGTATTCTTATAAAGATAATGACAACACTAACCCCATAAAGTGTTTGGACAGCAACCCCACTATGTACTATCATAAAGATAATAGACAACACTAACCCCATAAAGTGTTTGGACAGCAACCCCACTATGTACTCTCATAAAGATAATAGACAACACTAACCCCATAAAGTGTTTGGACAGCAACCCCACTATGTACTATCATAAAGATAATAGACAACACTAACCCCATAATGTGTTTGGACAACAACCCCACTATGTACTCTCATAAAGATAATAGACAACACTAACCCCATAAAGTGTTTGGACAGCAACCCCACTATGTACTATCATAAAGATAATAGACAACACTAACCCCATAAAGTGTTTGGACAGCAACCCCACTATGTACACTCATAAAGATAAAAGACAACACTAACCCCATAAAGTGTTTGGACAACAACCCCACTATGTACTCTCATAAAGATAATAGACAACACTAACCCCATAAAGTGTTTGGACAGCAACCCCACTATGTACTCTCATAAAGATAATAGACAACACTAACCCCATAAAGTGTTTGGACAACAACCCCACTATGTACCTCATAAAGATAATAGACAACACTACACCCCATAAAGTGTTTGGACAGCAACCCCACTATGTACTATTATAAAGATAATAGACAACACTAACCCCATAAAGTGTTTGGACAGCAACCCCACTATGTACTTTCATAAAGATAATTGACAACACTAACCCCATAAAGTGTTAGGACAACAACCCCACTAAGTACTCTTATAAAGATAATAGACAATACTAACCCCATAAAGTGTTTGGAAAGCAACCCCACTATGTACTCTCATAAAGATAATAGACAACACTAACCCCATAAAGTGTTAGGACAACAACCCCACTAAGTACTCTCATAAAGATAATAGACAACACTAACACTAACCCCATAATGTGTAACAACCCCATTATGTTCTTATATAGATAAAAGATAACATTAACCCCACAAAGTGTTAGACAAGAACCACAATATGTTCTGATAGAAAATATTAGACATCTTAGTAACCTCAGAGTGTTAAACAAACAACCCCGCTGTATTTTCATGTAACAGATACCAGTAACCATATGAATTTAAGTGTTTGAAAACCCCAGTATGTTCTAATATCAAAAAAACTCTACCAGGGACTGGTAATAAAAGAACAAAAACCCCACTATGTTCAATCGCAACTTCTCGAGCCTTTCTGACTAGCTGACAAATGATCTCGAATGTATTAGTTAGACGCCATGGCAACAACCCCCCCCCCCCCCCTTTTCATGATCTTCGAAATAAATGCATGAAGACCTTTTATCTGTGGAATATGGAGTTTAACTTTATTAAATGTAATGATATTACCTAAAATATACCATAGAAGGGACTTCTAACTCCATCTATCCTATATTTGAATAAACAGAAAATGTATAAATTTTTAGCATCCGGTGATGTTAATACATTCGAGGTTGTTTTTCCGACCTCTGACGGAAAGACCCGAGATGATGCGATTGACCTCACACAAGGTATTTTATTATATAATTCTAACTTTAAATTACAATTTTTCTTAGTAAATGAACGAATAAGATTATCAGTAATAAAGTTTAATATGTATTTACTAGTCATACGTAATGCATTACTATGTATAAATTGTATATATTTACATGTACTTATATTTTTTGGTAGAATCACCTTATATGTTACATAAATAAATATAGAAACCTACATCAACATCTTTATTTCACTTGGTCACAACAGGATTGTCAGTCACATGTAAAATTTGACTAGAGCTAGTCCTTACAATTTCACCTCATTGTAGGTGAAACCACAGGCACCTGAATTTGTATCAATAAGTCGCTAAATAAGCCAAATATCGAAAAATTCTACCCCCTCTATATTATTTATATATAGAGGGGGTAGAATTTTTCGATATTTGGCTTATTTAGCGACTTACTATCAATAAGTCGCTAAATAAGCCAAATATCGAAAAATTCTACCCCCTCTATATTATTTATATATAGAGGGGGTAGAATTTTTCGATATTTGGCTTATTTAGCGACTTATTGATACAAATTCAGGTGCCTGTGGTGAAACACTTTTACAATATGGGGAATTACCTTAGGCAGACTAGTATTAATGCTTGTTAAACCTTTGGATAAATCTTGGTTAATGCTTTAATTTATAGACCTCTAATCATACTCCAAAGTACCCTAACCCTAACCCTAACCCTGACAATTTTTTAAATGTCAAAATCGTGAAAGCCTGGAAAACCTTTCATCTTTAAAAACGAAAGTAGACTAAGTAGAAACCATTGGATAAGACAAAAAAACCTATTCAATCAAAAGTAAATTACCATTCAATGTTATACTGCCATGTTTTACGATTATTTACCTGTCATTTGAAGACATTGCTTTTTGAAATGGTTTCAGACTTTACCAGCAACGCAATATATGGGCTCTTCTCCCAAATTTCGACAGAGGAACTTCGAGCGAATATAATCTCGATAAACCGTACATTAAATTAGTCGAATTTTAATAAATGATAGCAAAATGCCTTTTTGTGACATTTTCATGCAAAACAATTTTACTTTACCAATTTTTTTTTAAGTTTTGCGAAATTTTTATTTTTACTTAATAAAAAGCTTTAAACAAAACGTTTACCTGAAAATCTCCACTCGGATTTCCTCGGATGACTCGTACCTCGCACATAATGAATGGAGCGTAGCGGAGTCAGCCGAGGATTGCCGATTGGAAAATCTCTTAAGAGAAAGAAACATACCCAAGGCGTTCCGAATGTTGTTTGCGATTACAACCCGAATGGCTTTATTGACATTAGTAACGATGTCCGAACATCGAAAGTGATAGGCATGACCCGATGACTGACCCATTGCTTGTTTACTGAAGACAGAGGCAGGCATGGAGGCCTTAAATCGGCAGGTCCTGGAGGGGCGCCTGAATAACCTCCCTCCAGAGGAAAAAACAGACGTGGTAGTGTTTGTTAGCTCAACTTTTACAGGTGCGTGCATAATAATTAAGGCCTAGATATTCGCATGCAGCTTTTTACCGATGAGTTTTTTTTTTAATTTAAATAAATTTAGAAGATATATAGCGATTTTGCTGATATTTTGATACCATTGAATTTTTTTAGTTTGCTTTTTAGTTAGTTGTTAGTTTTTTTTTTTTTTTTTTTGTTCTGCTTTATTCATGTCCCTTCATATTAAATGTAATTATATTTACAATATATTCAATTGCAATTTAAAAGTATTAACTACATGTAATTACAGTGACCTCGCACGTTTTAACTTGCGCATATCCTAAATCAATCTTAAATAAAAGAAATCAATTTGACAATGTACAACATTTGACTTATTGTAATTTTTATTTACTGAATTTATCAGAATAAATTTCAGAAATAAATAAAAGCTCAAAACTCGCAAATAAATCAGGTTAATGCATTTCTTTGCCTGTCCCAAATTGTGCATCTATATAATTCAGTTTAAATTAATTATCACATATTTAATTTTAATTAATTCATAAAAAATTTCTTTACATGAAATGAATTCAAAACATTTAATATCTATAATTCATTACATTGTAAAAAACCATGAGCATACATGTACATTTTTTAATTTATGCATACGTAGTCTTCTTTCTGCACAAATTTTACGATATAAAAGAAATGTGCATTGAATCCTTTTATTTTATTTTTAGATATGTCCATAGAAAGAAACTATATAATGAACCAAGTGACCTCTGAACTCAATCAGTATTGTTTGAAGAGAAAACTGGCCTTTCGGGTAATTGAATTTCATACACAATATTTCTTTTCTTTACATTTAGTTTTTTAATTAGACAGTACAGATTTTACTGAATTACGGCGTATTCAAGCTTATCTTACGAACTAGTCGATCGCGCTGAGATTTTTCCGGTAGTAGGCAATATAAGATACCTGAGAATTTATCATGTTAAATTTTCCAACGGCAATCCACTGGTTTCCTACTTAAAATAATTAAGGAATTATATGCCAGTTTGACAACCTGATTTGTATTTTTTAATATCTGGACATGAGGCGTGTGTGTGAGGGTGTGTGATGTGTGTGTGGGAAGGGGGGGATACCACACTGAATTTGATGACGTTATTTGTATTTTTAGTTTCTGGACATGAGGTGGGGGGTCAGGGACGAGGCGTCGGTTGACCACACTACGGAGGAGATTGTTCTGGACGCTGTCCGCACGGCGAGAGAGGACTCCAAAGGACCCTTCTTCCTGGTCAGTAGATTAAATAACACTCACAAAACTAAAGCAACAATATAAAATACAAAATTTTAAAATAAAAATAATACAAGGCCCACTTCTTCCAGGTCAGTGAACTTTATTATACTCATAAAAAAAACAAGACTCTCTTCTTTTTGGTCAGATAATTAAATTATACATGAACTCAAAAAAAAAGACATTCTTCTTCCTGGTCAATTAATCAAAAAATAAATAAATAAATAAAACTCACATCAGTAAAACAATATCATCTCCTTTCTGCACAGTTAATAAAAAGATACAATTTTTAAAACATAAAACAAAATCATCTTCTTTCTGGCCAGATAATTAAAAATTACTCACAAAATACGTAAACAGCAATATAAATTATAACAATACTCGCAGCACTTAATTTCTATCTGGTCAACTGTTGAAGTTATTAATTTGCACAAAATAAAACAAGGTCGTTTTCCTTTCTGGTTTGTTGATAAAAACATAATTATGCCGATAATTTGAATAATAGTAATGTTGATAATAGTAGTATATGTTGCACAAAGTACTGCACATTACAAAAGATAAACAAGTTTGTAGTTGGAGAATGACAATAAAAGGTCATAAGTTTTCTTCAGAAATAAAGGTGATTTTATTCTTACTAAAAATTAATTCTTTTTTAATTTGAATACTGTATTTTATTTTTTTTAAAGGTGCTATGAAGGTAAAAAAAAAAAAAGCTTTAAACACAGGTGTCAAGTGCAGCAGAGCGTAACTAATCCCTATCGATCGTCTCCTGATGGTGAAATTCACGAGATAATCATGCTATACAAATCATTTGTTTTGACAAGAGTTGCAATTAGAGCTTCTACACGGAATCAAAATCTAACAGGTGTGAAAATACTGATAGACCTGTATTAGCTAAGTTACATACTCTCACTGTAAATTTTCAAAGTAATGATGAATTAATATTGTAAATTACAAAATGAAGCTTTAACCTTGAATTTCTTTAAGTTTAGATATAGAAAAACTATTAATTGTGATTTAATTCTTTTAAATTTTCAATGGTCGATCTTGAAAAATAAGTACAAATTGATCTTACAGGACAATTATATTTTTTCCATTAACACAAAGAGAGTTATATATACGTATCTAAAGGTAATTTGTCTAATTTCTATAATAGGTGAATTTTTTTATCCGGCACATAATTACACAAGCGACTGTGTAAGCAATGTGACATATTGGGGTATTAATAATGGATCTAAAATGTCCTACACTCATTTTAAATAATAAACATTGATTGTCATTTATCAAATTGATATACCACTAAATTTTACAACCTAATTACAACCCCATGTTGATTCCTACGGAGCCTACTGATGCGAAAATTTATTGCAGTGACATTAATTCCATTTTTCCATTCTGATTTTTTCTCTATAGATTAAGGTACGATTACAAGAACATGTAAACAAATGTGTGAAGAAGCATACTGGTACGTATCTAGAATGAATTGAGAGAGAGAGAGAGAGAGAGAGAGCAATTATACTACGAAACAGGATAAAATTAAAGCCAAAAATATTCAATTTGAAAAAATTTAAACACGGATGATTTAAAAATTAATCGGAAGGGGCGGAAGAGGCGTGAAAAATCCAGAGATTTTGTCTCCCGTCGGAATAATCACGTATTTATGTTATGAGATATCTGCATGTAATTACCATAGATATAGAGAAAATTCGAATTAAGAAAAAAAACACGATCGTATTTTGAAGTAAATAAGCCAAGTAGTACTCCAACACGGATTAAATTATGGAGATTTATTGACAGTTGGAGCATGTTATATGGAAAATTTAAATGGTTTGGATTTTTGTTGCAAAAAACGAGTGAAAATACGTACCAGGTGTGCTTTGCATGTATTGCACGTGTATAAATAATATTATCTTTTTTTACTGGCCAACGGGGCGACCCTCTTGCAGAAAACCACTAGCCCGACCCCCGGGTATCGGTCGATTTTCATTGCAGACCTCTGATTAAAAAAAGAACTATCAGTGCATTCATTATATTTTTTTTCACAAAAGCCCGTTTTCAATCGGTATGTGTTTATGTGGACTACAAGTGTCCTTTCCTTGACTTTAAATAAATTCTACAACTGCATAATGTACGTATGAATCATATCAAACAACTTACAAAGCTTTTTTTCAATGTGGTGCAACAAAATAGTAAGACTTACTGCATTTGCTTTTTGTGTTTCCGAATTTCCTCACTGCTAATCCAAACACAGCTACTTCCGCATTCTGCGCATGCGCAGTTAGTTTTAAATATATGCGCATGCTCAGGTATTCGGAACTCCTCGATTCAATTACCGAACTCCTCTAAACAGCAGATTTCTGAATGTCTGAGCGTTTTGGGCTAAGGACATGTCCAAAATTTGGACAAAGTCTTTGTGAGGTTAAATCTAATTTTAGGTTTTTCGACCTCATAGAGTAATTTTGAACGTAATTAGACCTCTTCATTATGGGGTTAACCCCACAGTACCCAAAAAACCCCACACTGCTGGAAAATACGTTAATTTTACCCCACAATGTACCTCTCGTAAGAACAGACAGACAGACGGACAGACGATGGACGACGGACACCAAGGGGTGATCAGAAAAGCTTGGCTGGACTTTCAGCTGAGGTGAGCTAAAAACAGGACATTGTATTTCTTTCCATTTAAAAATTTATACAAAAATGTTTCACTCGATTGATTGATTGATTGTATACTGTTTTATGTCCCGCTCCAGAATATTTCACTGATATGGAGACGACACCATTGCCGGTGAAGGGCTGCAAATTTTAAGCACGCCTATGCGCACTGGATACTGAGCAGGGAGGGATTTTTATCACATGCCACACCTGCTGACGCGGGGCCTGCGTTATCCGTCTCATCCGAAGGACTGCCCGATTTTAGTCGCCTTTTCTGTCACAAAGCAGATGAGACCAACATTCTAACCCGGATCCCACGGGGTTGTTTCACTTGAAATGTTACTCTTAAATTGGAAGTAGAGATCACAGATCATTTAGATGAGACAGGACAGCTGTGTTTAAACAGCTAATGTCAACATCTGACATTATGGACGAGACTACCATAAAAATTCTTAGATTCTCATCCGAATCTGTGGGTTTTTTTTTTTTTTTTTTTTTTTTTTTTTTTACAGAATTTTTATAGACCTGTAGTCAATTGGTTTAGATTTTTTCTGTTATGCCAGAATAAAAATCAAAATAAAGGTCTTTTTTTTTTAATCATATCATTTTTCGGATAAAGTGATTCCTATATTTCCATTTTTCCATATAATCAATAGAGCCTACCCCCCCCCCCCCCCCCAAAACAGAACCTGAACCTGGCCCTAAAAATTTAAAAATTTGGTAGAGGCAACCCTTTCTCATCTTTTATTTTCAAATTTACAAATAAATGAATAAATTTATATAATTCGCATTATTTATTTATTTATTTATCTTTTTTTTTATCTATTCAATCTTAAATCAGTCTATTTGTAGAGTTTTTCCCCGTAGAAAATAAATGAATAAAATAGATTAATATTTTATTTATAGATTTTAATCTATTTCTTAGACATTTATTTTATTAATGCATTAACATATCATTCCTTTCAATTATTTTTTATTTATTTAAATTCTTTGGAAAAAAATCCCCTATAAATTTACATGTATTCCTAAATGTTTAAATCTGTTTCTTTTACAAAGACAGTTATTACGCTAAAAAGTTTCAAAGAAGATAACACGAAAACGTTTTTAAATATAGATATAAAAGGTTCAAAAAGTACAATGTAAATGCCGTCTAGCATCACAAATGCAATAATTTTGTAATCTATTTTTAAATGCAACAAAAATATATTCTAAACTCCTTTTCTTTGGGCCCAAAAAAAATGTCAGGGGACGACGGGGTAGACAGGGGGCGCAGGGACAACGACGGGGACGACAAGGACAACGACAGGGGGGCGGGACAACGACAGGGTGAAGGGACTACAGGGAGATAGGGAATGTCAGTGGACGACAGGGAGTAGACCCGGGGAAGGGAGGGACAACGACGGG